ATGTGCAGATCTGTCCTCGCAGAGGAGGGAGAGCTTGTACCTGAATATAAAACTTAGTCTTAAAAGTGCCACTGGACTGTCTTGGACCGGGGGGCTGGGGGGGGGGCTCTGCAACTTACCTGGCTGCTTCTTGCTGTGACTGAGGGCTGCTGGGAGCAGGGGGTGGGGCTTGTTGGATGTGCCCGCCCCCTGGGCTCTTTACTGCCGGAGCTCCGCTCCTGTGTGCTTCTGCAGGAAATGACCCCTGAGAGAGTGGGAGATGGCAAGCTCGGGAGGGGGGGCCGTATGTGGACGCCCGCTGCCTCTGCCAAAGGCTTGGTGGAACAACACTGTCTTGCAGGCCCTGTGGAATTGCATAAGATCCCGCAGGGCCCTGATCTCAATAGGGAGCATGTTCCACCAGGTGGGTGCCAGGGCGCAAAAAGCCCTGGCCCCGATTGAGGCTAGGCGGACGTCCTTTGGGCCAGGGATCACCAGGAGATGTTGACTCTTAGAGCGTAACCCTCTCCGAGGTGTATATGGGAAGAGGCGGTCCCTTAGGTATGTTGGTCCCAGGCCGTATAAGGCTTTGAAGGTGATTACCAACGCCTTGAAACGAATCCGGCACTCACCTGGCGGCCAATGCAGCTGACAGAGCACATGCCGTAAAACCCTCCAGGGTGGCCCTAAACCCGCTGCAACATGACGGGCACGTTCCACCACCAAAGGCGACAAACGTGAAGTACCTTGAACGTGCTTTCTTAATAGGGAGCCTCGACAATACTTAGTGCTAATGTTATTAATCATGCCAAGTACTGTTTGGCATTAATAAATCCTGTTCAAAGCTCATAATTTGAAGGGCTTCTCATTCTTGGCCTCAAGCCTCAGCTTTATTAACGTTAACGAATGTATGTTAATATTGTAACTGATTGTTTTGTTCTTAAGGGTTGAGGCTAAATGGCAGTTGTGAGTCGCTTGACATTAACCTTAACACCATTTAGTTATGTTCGATTTAAGAATAACAACGCGAAGCCTGTTCAGAGCACTTCCCGTGCACTATTACCATTAATAAATCACATTAATAAACTGCATTAATAAATTACATTGTGTTACCATTAATAGATTGCATTAAATTGCATTATTTATTTAATTTATTTTTGTTTGCAAAATTGCGCGTGCTGCCTTTTCGCCCTTGCAGAGGCCGCCATAATAGTGACGCAAAGTGTTATCATTTCCGTGCTACTCCCCTGTCAACCGTCTTGGCTCGGTCCTGCTCCCTGTTTCAGTCCGTGACTTGAATCTCAGAGAGAAAGTGTCGGAGAATCCCTTGCCGACAGTTCCCAGAATCCCTCTCTTTCTTGCCCCTCTCCTGTTGGGGGTTCTAAGCAGGGCTTTTTTTGTAGAAAAAGACCAGCAAGAACTCTTTAGCATAATAGGCCACACCAAACAGCAGGAACTCATTAGCATATTAGGCCACACCCCTGACAGCATGGCTCATTAGCATATCAGGCCACACCCCCATGTTACCAGAAGTGTAGCCATCCAGCCACACCGACCTTTGGCTTCTTATTCTGTTTACCTTGTTTGTTGTCAAAACCCAGGGCCTTTTTTTGTAGCAGGAACTCCTTTGCATGTTAGGCCACACACCCCTAATGTAGCCAATCCTAATGACTTCCTGCTGTTGGGTGTGGCCTGTTATGCTAATGAGTTCCTGGTGCCCTCCAAGTGTTTTCAGGAAGTGGGTGGGGCTTTTGCCCAGCAAGGCTTCTGATAGGCTATTGGAGACTTCATTAGCTGTGCAGGGTTTTTTTTAATGTTGCTTTGGCAACAGCTGCCACGCAATGCAAGGATGTGCACTGTGTGACTGAAGTTAAGCTGTGGCGGTCATTTTGTGGCCGGCCCCACCTCTTGGGGCAGCCATTTTGTGGCCGCGCCCATCGTGTCATGTCCCCAATGTCCCTGCAGGCTCAAAAAGGTTAGGGATCCTTGATTTAGATCAACGCTTGGGAGGAGAAGTGGCTTTTGAGAGGCCCCTTCTCATGCCGGGTTGGCTGCTCACCCCTTCTCTTTCCCCTCTTTCCAGAAGGAATCCCTCAGGTTTACTACTTTGGCCCGTGCGGGAAGTACAACGCCATGGTCTTGGAGCTGCTGGGGCCCAGCCTGGAAGACCTCTTCGACCTCTGCGACCGGACGTTCACGCTCAAGACGGTCCTCATGATCGCCATCCAATTGGTGAGCGGCCTTCTCAGGGCTCCGCCCACACCTCCCACTCAGGGGACAAGCCTCTCTTGCCTCCGTATCCTGGAGTGCTCTCTATGGTCAGGTCTATTTCCTATACTGCAGATCGTGTTAAAAAAAATTAAAATTCCATGTCAGGAGGGAATTCAGAAGCTATAATTAAGAAATCTTGCACGGTTTTATCCTGGAACCTAATTGAGATGTTTTGTGTTCTGGCTTGGGCCGTGGACACGTCACGCCCACCTCCGTTGCAAAAGTTATTTGTTTAAATATTTGCCATGTTGGTTCTTGTCTTTTGGGACTTCAGCAGGGTTTGTTTGTACCCTGCAGGGGTTAGAAACATCTTTAAATTAAAAAACAACAACACTCAGTAACTAGGAAGCTGGATTTTACGCCCTGCAGAATCATGTCCTATGTAGATGCCCCGCTCCCCGTGCCCGTTCCCTAGGCAAATTTCGCATTGTACTTCGATATGCAAATTGAATCATAAAGTGCTGTACATTAATATTTGTCCATAGAAAAACTTGCCAAAAAAATAAACCCTGAACAGAGTTCAAGTCTTTTTGTGCTGAAGAATATAGCTCTATTAAGAGTTCTGGGGAGCCTGAACACTTGCATGTTGCGATGAGCAAATTTGGTTGTGCGTTTTGTGTGCCCTTTGCACAAAAAACTAAAAATAATACTGATAAACACGGTCTTAAGTTGCAAACAGAATAAAAAACAACAACCATGAACATCAGGCCTCCAAAGAGGCATTTTTTTTGGATCCCAACACAGATATTTGTGTGAATATCTTTGGGAAGATTTTGCAATCTGTGCCCATTTGGTTGGTTATTGCTCTTGCTGAAAACAGACATAATCTTAAGAGCTTGAAGGTTACTGCTCTGTATAGGATACTTCCTGAGGAGGAATTCCATGTGAAACGTTGAAAATAATCCAGAAACGATGTTAAGTAGGATTTTTCTTACGATTTATTGAAATTGTACTTTGTAGATTTGTTAATTGTATACATTTCAAACCAGGGGTCATTTTGTAGAAAAAGAGGTGCAGGAGCTCACTATCAAAACTTATTAGCATAACTTATTTGCATATGCCACACCCCCTGACACCACCGGAAGTGTGTCAGAAGGCAACACCCACCACTCAGGCTCCACTGGACTCTTTTGGATTGCTAGCTATTGGGGGGGGGGGGGAATGTGCAGATCTGTCCTCGCAGAGGAGGGAGAGCTTGTACCTGAATAAAACTTGGTCTTAAAGGTGCCACTGGACTGTTTTGGACCGGGGGGGGCTCTGCAACTAACCTGGCTGCTTCTTGCTCTGACTGAAGGCTGCTGGGAGCAGTGGGTGGGGCTTGTTGCATGTGCCCGTCCCCTGGGCTCTTTACTGCCGGAGCTCCGCTCCTGTGCGCTTCTGCAGGAAATGACCCCTGTTTCAAACCGACATTATTCACTGCATAAAAGAATAGAATTTTCTTTATGATTTATTGACACAGTATTTTGTACACCTGTATGCACTTCAAATAGACATTATTCATCGCATTTATAAGTTGTCTGGCTGTTGATACTTTGGGGTCTGATGTTCATGGATGATTGGCACAAAAATGCCACAGGCTGTACTTCTCGCAGTTTGCACTGCAAGAAGTGCTCCACTGCTCGCAGACCTCCGTCCTCCCCTTCCCACCGACTCCAGATTCACTTCATGCAGCTGGATGCGTCTTCCACAACTAAAGTTTAAGGTGACGCAAGGATTTGTTTGCTTGCTTGCATCTGTCTGTTTTTTGCAAGTAGCAATTCCATGGGAACGGCCTCTCCCATGTGATAATTGGATACAGAACTCTGGCTTCTTGTGTACAGAACTCGGGCCATGTGTACCATGAAATGTAATGCCAGGTACCGGAGATATGAACTTTATAAAGGACGCGGGCCAACCCAATTAACAATATTATTTTTTTACTCAAACGACAAACGAAAGCAATTGATTCCTAGCAGTGAAAGCAATTGATTTTACTGGGGAACCGACAAACCCCCCCATCATACACAAGACCAGTGTTCCCTCTAAGCTGAGTTAGTGTGAGCTAGCTCAGTTTTTTAGCCTCTGGCTCACACATTTTTGTCCTAGCTCAGGAAGGACGGCTCCAGAGCAAACTAATTTATGCAGTAGCCAAATCGCTCTCTCACAGCTTTAATGCCAGGAGCTCACAAAGCAGAATTTTTGCTCACCAGACTCCACAGCTTAGAGGGAGCATTGCACAAGACTAGGTTTTTCCCAAGGGATACTATAAAAGGTTTTTCCCAAGGGATACTTACATTTCCATCCATACCAGTTGCTTTTGGGCTGGTTAAGAACCCTGGACGGGCCAGTTCTGGCCCACGGGCCTTACGTTTGACACCAGTGCTCTAGAAGCTAAAATGTCCAGACTGAGGCTATCATACTTTGGTCCTGTCACGAGAAGACAAGACTCACTGGAAAAAGCTATAATGCTAGGAAAAGTTGATGGTAGCAGGAACAGAGGAGAACGCAACATGAGATGGAGTGACTCGATCAAGGAAGCCATAGCCGTCCGTTGACAAGACCCAAGCAAGGCTGTGAATGGTGGGATGGTTTAGAGCAGGGGTGTCAAACATGCGGCCCTAGGGGCCAGATGAGGCCCCCGGAGGGCTTCTATCAGGCCCGCAGTGGAACCGGCTGTCTTCTGCTTCTTCTTCCAGTTCTGCTGCTGCTGCGTCATCGTAGGCTTGCAGCTTACAGATACACACCTGAACAGCATCCTCGAGATTGCAACAGCACAGACATTTTGATGCAGTAATTCAGAGCAAGAGGTGTCAGTTATCAGACACTGTTAAATAGACAAAATACTGCAAGAGTGCTCATGTTTTTAGCATGTTTTTATTTTAAGTAAAAAAAAACCTTACTGTGTTTGTGTCCTTTATAAAGTTTATATCTCCGCTACCTGCGTTCTGTGCACCTTGGTGTTTAGTCATGCCGGCTACATGACCACGCAAATGTCTTCGGACAGCGCTGGCTCTTCGGCTTTGAAACGGAGATGAGCACCGCAATCCTAGAGTCGGATTCGACTGGCTTTCAAGCAAGGGAACCTTTACTTTACCTTTACCTGGCATTACATTTTATGTCACACATGGCCCGGCCCAACAAGGTCTCATTTATGTCAGATCCAGCCCTCATAACAAATGAGTTTGACACCCCGGGTTTAGAGGACGTTCATTCATAGGGCTGCTGTAAAACAGAAATGATTTGACGACACTTAACACCCGTAATGTCATCAGACTTTCAAATCTGCTTGTCTTTGACATGCTAGAGTCCTGACAAAGGCCCTTTTCTCCTTCCCCCTAACCCTCCTCCCCGGCCCCAGATCACACGGATGGAGTACGTTCACACCAAAAGCCTGATCTACAGAGACGTCAAGCCCGAGAACTTCTTGGTGGGGCGCCCGGGAAGCAAACGGCAACACACCATTCACATCATCGACTTCGGCCTGGCCAAAGAATACATTGACCCCGAGACCAAAAAACACATCCCCTACCGAGAGCACAAGAGCTTGACAGGGACGGCCCGATACATGAGCATCAACACACACCTCGGGAAAGGTAGGCCGGCAGGCAGCTCTTGGGGGAGCTGCGTGAACTGGGCTCTTCGCTCGGTCAAAAGCCAGCAACATAGTGTGGGAGTTAGGGTTGGGGGGATACCTGGGGTTTTGGGGGGGGGTGGAGCCCGGGGAGAGTGAGGTTTAGGGTTGCCAAGCATCCACATCACAACGGGCCTCTGGGGTGGGGGTTTCCCCGCCCCCCGGGGGGACTTGGTAAGCCTACCCGGAAGTGACGTCATCACACTGGGCACGTCGCCGGGTGACACTCTAGCAATCAGCCTGAAATGTGTCCCTAAATTGCACTTTAGTTTTGTCGCCATCTAATGAATGTTTTATATTGACTGGTTGTGTTTTAACTGATGTTTTATATTTTATTGTGAATGTATAGTGCTTGTCAGTTCTTGGAAGCCGCCCTGAGCCTTCCTAGCGGGGAGGCCGGGGTAAAAGTGAAATAAATAAATAAATAAATAAAACTATGGAACCATAGAGTTTTCAGGCTGATTGCTAGAGCGTCACCCGGCGACGTGCCCAGCACGATGACGTCACTTCCGGGAGACATCATCGCCCCAGGCACGTCGGCCCGATCTGGGCACTTTGGGGGTGGGGTTCCCCCCACTGGCCGGATCCGGACTTGCAGGTTGGGGGCCCTTTGGGCAGGAAATCTTGGCAGCCCTAGTGAGGTTTGGGGAGGGGAGGGACCTCAGTGGGGTAGAATGCCACAGAGTCCACCCTCCAAAGCATCCATGTTCTCCTGGGGAACTGATTTCTGTAGTCAGGAAGTGAGCTGTAATTCCAGGGGCTCCCCAGGCCCCACCTGCAGGCTGGCATCCCTACGTTGCGTGCTGCCTCTGTTCACACGCTGCGTGGGAGCAAAGGCCCCTTGGTTGCAGAAGCCCCGAATTAGACTCCAGGTGGTCTGAATATGAAAACCTGCAATTATCAGAAGGGCTTTTCTGCCGATGCTGGTAGCTCCCTAGAGAAGGAAGGGCAGGGGTAAGGAGTGAGAGCCCGTTTGGTGCAGTGGTGAAGAGTGGCACACTAATCTGGGAGAACCGGGTCTGATTCCCCACTCCTCCACATGCAGCCAGCTGGGTGACCCTGGGTCAGTCACAAGTTCTCTCAGAGCTGTTCTGGCAAGAGCAGTTCTTTCAGAGCTGTCTCGGCCCCACCTACCTCACAGGGTGTCTGTTGTGGGGAGAGGAAGGGAAGGGAGATTGGAAGCCGCTCTGAGACTCCGAGTGAAGGGCGGGGTATAAATCCAATCTCTTCTTCTTCAAAGAAGAGGTGCGACAGCCAAGAGATGGGGGTTTCTCAGGCTCCCATAGTAGGACCTCAGCGCATGCGCCAACAATGGGTGGAGCTGATCCAATCCACTAGGGGTTGAGTCATTATCATGGGGGCACGTTGTAATTTTTGGTTTACATGCATGATGATGGGGGGGGGGAATTAAAAAGAACTTCATTTATTTTTAGCCTACCTTTAGACCCAAAGCAGGTCCCAGTGGCAGGCTTAGGAATACCATGTCTTTCAAAGCTGCATGGAAGCATATTGTGTATAAAAACGGCAGCCGTTAAAAGCTTGAAGTGCTGCAGAGAGGGAAAAAACGATGCTAGGTAGCCAGCCGGTCTCAAGGCCGGGCAGGTTTTTTAAAGGAAAGGGTGCGGGGGACTCTTAATGGGCTTTTAAAATGCTAAAATGTTAAACGGAACAAATCTGTCCTTGATTTATGACTCTTTCCGTTGGTTGGTTGAATGCCAAGGAAAAACGGCACAGCTAAGAGCGAAATCGTGAAAGGCCCCAAGCCCCCAGGGTTTTTTTGGAAAAACACACAAAACCTCAGCGTCTCATGCTACGATTTGTAGGACCCACTCTCCAAGTGGCTGGACGCACAAGAATGTTTCAGCCGAAAAGAAAAGTTGTGCTTAGCCAAAATTAAATATAGTGGTTTTAATAGTTCGGGAAACGTTTGGGGGGAAGGGGGTCTGGTCTTGTCCTATAGCCATAACTCTCCGTTTCTTCCCATGTAGAACAAAGCCGCCGAGATGACCTGGAAGCATTAGGTCACATGTTCATGTACTTCCTGCGTGGGAGCCTGCCCTGGCAAGGCCTCAAGGTGAGGAGCTGGTCCCGCAGAATTCGTTCACTCTGTTTGCTGCACACAGATGTTCCAGTTTGGCATAGTAGTTAAGTGCACGGACTCTGATATAGGAGAACCGGGTTTGATTCCCCACTTCACCACTTGCAGCTGCTGGATGACCTTGGGCAAGCTATAGTTCTGTCAGAGCTGTTCTTGAAAAAGAGCAGTTTCTGTCAGAGCTCTCTCAGCCCCACTGACCTCACAGGGTGTCTGTTGTGGGGAGGGGGAGGGAAAGGAGTTTGTAAGCCGCTCTGAGACTCCTTTGGGTAGTGAAGGGCGGGGTAGAAATCCAGTCTCTTCTCTTCTTCTGCATATTGCCTCTTTTTGCATACTTTATTCTGATTTCACTAGTCATAGGAAGGAGTGCTAGCTTCTAACACTTGGAGTTCCCCACCCACCCCACACGCATAGAGGACGTGCAGTGTAATCACAGCCTCTTCAGGACTGGAAACTTGAACTTCTTTTTTTATTTTAAAGAGAGAGCCATGATTTCTCTGGGTACTACTTTTGGGTATGTTATAACTTTTACAGAAAATAACTGGAAGGAAAGAGAATTTTAAAGATTTCCAGCCTGCCTTTTGACCTAAATTAGGTCCAATAGCAGCCCCCCTCCCTCCCAAATGGAGTGTATGAAGCCGTTTTTGTACACGGGAACTAGAATAATTCACACCTCTTTTGCTGCCTGCGTGATCCTCATTTCATTTATTCAAGGGAAGTCTACATAGCTCCTAGGCCAGTAGTGGCGAACCTATGGCATGGGTAACAGAGGTGGAACTCAGAGCCCTCTCTGCGGGCACATGTGCCATCACCCCAGCCAGGCCCAGACCATCATTAAAGTGTCGAATTCTCTGCCAAATGATTTTAAGTAAATGAAAGCATTTGGGATTGCTTTCCTTCCTTTGTTTGGATCATCTTAAGTTAACGTATGAGTTGTTTTTTCTAAAGAAAAACCTCAGTATTCAGGTTAAATGGCCGTGTTGGCACTTTGCGATAAATATGTGGGTTTTGAGTCGCAGTTTTGGCACTCGGTCTCTCAACGGTTCGCCATCACTGTCCTAGGCTCTTCGACAAAATAGTAGGACAATAATCGAAATACAGGATCCTAACTTCAGCATGCCCCAAGCCAGCAAGGTGCATCTCGCCCAGAAATATGCCGAGAGCAGAGCACTTCCACGATGGCTCATTCCTCTTGGGCTCTTGGTGAACATTCTGTGATGTCACGGCAGCTAGCCCAGTGGCAGCACAGGATCCTGCAAACAACCCAAAATGTCAACCAGAAAAGCGATTCTCTTCTGAGTGGTCATTTGCTCCTTGCCATGTTCTGGGACTGACACGTTACACGCTCCTTAAAGGTGACCTGCTGTCATCTTGCCCTTGTTCTAGGCGGACACACTGAAGGAACGGTATCAGAAGATCGGCGACACCAAAAGAGCCACGCCCGTCGAAGTGCTGTGTGAAAACTTCCCCGGTAAGGATGCATGCCCCAGGAAGAGGGGAGGGGAGACAGCCGGCATTTGCGTTGGCCAACATGCTTGGTAGCATGTTGGACTTTCCTTCTTGCTCTCTAACACAGTCTGTTCTGTCTGTTCCACTGTTCTTTGCTTTGGTGTAGTGGTTAGAAGCGCGGACTCTAATTTGGGAGAACCGGGTTTGGTTCCCCACTCCTTCCCTTGCAGCTGCTGGCGTGGCCTTGGATCACTCACAAGTTCTCTCAGAGCTGTCCTCTTAAGAGCAGTCCTCAGAGAGCTCCCTCAGCCCCACCTACCTCACAGGGTGTCTGTTGTGGGAAGGGAAAAGGATTGTAAGCCGCTCTGAGACTCCTTTGGGTAGTGAAGGGCGGGGTATAAATCCAATCTCTTCTTCTTTTACCTCACAGGGTGTCTGTTGTGGGAAGGGAAAAGGATTGTAAGCCGCTCTGAGACTCCTTTGGGTAGTGAAGGGCGGGGTATAAATCCAATCTCTTCTTCTTTTACCTCACAGGGTGTCTGTTGTGGGAAGGGAAAAGGATTGTAAGCCGCTCTGAGACTCCTTTGGGTAGTGAAGGGCGGGGTATAAATCCAATCTCTTCTTCTTTTACCTCACAGGGTGTCTGTTGTGGGAAGGGAAAAGGATTGTAAGCCGCTCTGAGACTCCTTTGGGTAGTGAAGGGCGGGGTATAAATCCAATCTCTTCTTCTTTTACCTCACAGGGTGTCTGTCATGGGGAGGGGAAGGGAAAGGAGTTTGTGAGCCGCTCTGAGACTCCTTCGGGTGAAGGGCACGGTATAAATCTGATCTCTTCTTCTCTTCTTCCTCTTCTCCTTCCGCAGAGCTCAGGGCAGCATTTATAGTTTCTCCCTTTTAGTCCTCACAACAACCCTGGGAGGTAGTTCGGGCTCAAAGCACACGGCTGGTGCACACACACTCCACCTGAGGGAAGTAACTGAGGATTTAGGGGACAATGGGGGGTACAGAGGGGGATGGGGGGCTGAGGTTGTGTTGGGGGGGGTTGGAGAATGAGATGTGATGGGGGAGGGAACTCAGCTCAGATCTCAGCTATGCGACAAACGCCCCCTCAGGGCTTCAGGTAAGCTGTTCCTTCTCACATGTCCCTCTTCCCGTGGGAATAGAACCAGAAAACCTTTATTGGCATAGTATAAGTAATCAAACAAAGGACAGAGTTTAAAGGATAGGTACAAAAAGCAACGTCGACCAGTATTCCCGATCCCAAGATACAAAGCAATCCTAACATGATTTACAAGATTTACAGAGTATTACTCTTGACTTCCATACGTAGGTCAAAAATTCAGCGACAGATAGTGGTATTGCCGGGCTCTTGTCTGCTAGAAGAAAATTTAAATCCCCATCCAGAAAATCTCTCTGCAAAGGGAGAAGAGGGCGAATCAGACTGTTGCGCATAACGGAATATTTAGGACATCGAAGAAGGATATGGGTAATAGAATCGGGTTCCCCAAGATTACAGTTGCAAAGTCTATCCTTATACGGGACACCCCTGTATCTACCTGAGACCACCACTGAAGGGAAAAGGTTGAACCTTGCAAGCATAAAAACCCTCCTAAAAACTGGGATTGTCAGGTTAGTAATATACGGTACCATGGAGGTATGTGAAGGAAGGAGGGGTAATGAATAAGGAGAACAAACTCCGAAACTACCGGCATTAATGATCCGCGCCTCTATATCCCAAACTCTCCTCCTAATCACCTGCAAGGTTGCTACCTCACCACAATTATAGAGGGGTTCTAGGTCAATACATAGTATACCCACCTTTCCCACTATGGCCTGTGACCACTCTGATATATAGGGGCCGTGGGAATAGCACGGGCTGTCAGAGAAGACAGATGAAAGGAAATACTTCTTCATGGAATGAGTATTTAAACTGTGGAGTTCCCTGCCAGTAGACATAGCGATGGCTGCAAGCATACCCAGAGAGCCAGGGTAGTGCAGTGGTTAAAATGTCAGACTAGGAGCTGGGGAAATCCAGGTTCAAATGCCCCCTCGTGCCATAGAAGCAGGCCGGGTGGCCTTGGGCCAGTCACACGCTCTCAGCCTAACCTACCTCACAAAGTTGTTCTGAGGAGAAAATGGAGGAGAGGAGAACAATGTAAGCCCCTTTGGGTCCCCACCAAGGAGAAAGGAGGGGTATAAATGAAGTAAATATTAACAATAAAATAAAAGCATGGTTGGTGGCATTCACAAACAACAGATCCATCTGTGGCTATTAGCCGTCGTGAGTAGGGGGGACCTCCACGTTCAGAAGCAGTCAGCCACTGAATCCCAGAGCAAGGAGGCAACTTCAGGGGAAGACCTCAGCCTCTCTGCCCTGTTGCTGGCCCTCCAGGGGAACTGGTTGGCCCCTGTGTGAGAGAGGATGCTGGACTAGATGGACCACTGGTCTGATCCAGGCGGGCTCTTCTGATGTTCTTATCAGGGGAAGACCTCGGCCTCTCTGCCCTGTTGCTGGCCCTCCAGGGGAACTGGTTGGCCCCTGTGTGAGAGAGGATGCTGGACTAGATGGACCACTGGTCTGATCCAGGCGGGCTCTTCTGATGTTCTTATCAGGGGAAGACCTCGGCCTCTCTGCCCTGTTGCTGGCCCTCCAGGGGAACTGGTTGGCCCCTGTGTGAGAGAGGATGCTGGACTAGATGGACCACTGGTCTGATCCAGGCGGGCTCTTCTGATGTTCTTATCAGGGGAAGACCTCGGCCTCTCTGCCCTGTTGCTGGCCCTCCAGGGGAACTGGTTGGCCCCTGTGTGAGAGAGGATGCTGGACTAGATGGACCACTGGTCTGATCCAGGCGGGCTCTTCTGATGTTCTTATCAGGGGAAGACCTCGGCCTCTCTGCCCTGTTGCTGGCCCTCCAGGGGAACTGGTTGGCCCCTGTGTGAGAGAGGATGCTGGACTAGATGGACCACTGGTCTGATCCAGGCGGGCTCTTCTGATGTTCTTATCAGGGGAAGACCTCGGCCTCTCTGCCCTGTTGCTGGCCCTCCAGGGGAACTGGTTGGCCCCTGTGTGAGAGAGGATGCTGGACTAGATGGACCACTGGTCTGATCCAGGCGGGCTCTTCTGATGTTCTTATCAGGGGAAGACCTCGGCCTCTCTGCCCTGTTGCTGGCCCTCCAGGGGAACTGGTTGGCCCCTGTGTGAGAGAGGATGCTGGACTAGATGGACCACTGGTCTGATCCAGGCGGGCTCTTCTGATGTTCTTATCAGGGGAAGACCTCGGCCTCTCTGCCCTGTTGCTGGCCCTCCAGGGGAACTGGTTGGCCCCTGTGTGAGAGAGGATGCTGGACTAGATGGACCACTGGTCTGATCCAGGCGGGCTCTTCTGATGTTCTTATCAGGGGAAGACCTCGGCCTCTCTGCCCTGTTGCTGGCCCTCCAGGGGAACTGGTTGGCCCCTGTGTGAGAGAGGATGCTGGACTAGATGGACCACTGGTCTGATCCAGGCGGGCTCTTCTGATGTTCTTATCAGGGGAAGACCTCGGCCTCTCTGCCCTGTTGCTGGCCCTCCAGGGGAACTGGTTGGCCCCTGTGTGAGAGAGGATGCTGGACTAGATGGACCACTCGTCTGATCCAGCAGGGCTCATCTTACATTCTTATGTTTAATGTGATGCTGAATACTGAGTGTTTGGGACAGCAGACACTACCGATACTGACTGCAGCAGTTAGCATGTACATTATTTATTATGATGATATGCCTAATAAAGAAAGCAAAAAAGGCCCCACTTGTGGAGTTTCCACCCAGAACCCCTTCCTGCTTTCGTTTTTGTCTTTTGCGCCAAGGCTGTTTTGACCAAAGGTGCTCTTCCCCACCCAATCCTGTCTTATTTATTCTTTTCTGCAGAGGAGATGGCCACGTACCTCCGCTATGTCCGGCGCCTGGATTTCTTTGAGAAGCCAGACTACGACTACCTGCGGAAGCTCTTCACTGACCTGTTTGATCGGAACGGCTTCGTCTTCGATTACGAATACGACTGGGCGGGTAAACCCTTAGTAAGTAGCCACTGGGAGGTGAGGGCCGGGTTCCTTCCCCGCATCCGAGTTTCGCTGTACGGCCACGTTTTGCCCCAGCGGCGGATGTGAAGTTTTGGGGATCCTGCGTGGAGTCCCGGCCTAAACATGCAGTGTCGCCCTGAACTTCAAAAAGATTTATTTTAAAAAAACAACAGCAAACAGTTCAGTCCTGTCACTGGGCCGTTTCCCAGAGAGACGAGCAGGGCTTACTTGTGAGAGCAGAGAGAGATGCCGGGGATCAAGTCTGAATGGGAGTTCTCCCGTTGCCCCTCTGAAGAGTTTGTGTGACTGTGGACTGGAAAGGAGGAAGGCTTTCTGCACATTCTCCAAGGTTACAGTTTTGGTTATCCAAGTGGATTTTTTTTGGGGGGGGGTGTTTTGATATCACTAAAGGGCTTCTCACAAGATGAGCCAACAGTCTGTTCTGAGCTCGTATACCCAGTAATCCTATTTTCCTGTTCCCGGGATGGGAGGAGGAGAAGATTTTGGGGTGCAGCTTGAACACCTGGTGGTGGGAAGGTAACAGCGTTCCGTGCGCCTCGGCGTTTAGTCATGCCGGCCACATGACCACGGAAACGTCTTCGGACAGCGCTGGCTCTTCGGCTTGGAAACGGAGATGAGCACCGCAACCCTAGAGTCGGACTCGACTGGCTTTCGAGCAAGGGAACCTTTACCTTTACCTTGAACACCTGGAGCTGCCTTACACTGGATCAGACCCTTAGTCCGCCAAGGTCGGAACGGTCTTCGAGACTGGCAGCTGCCCCCCAGGGTCTCAGGCTGCGGCCTTCCACACCACCTACTACAAGGCCCTTTTAACTGGAGATGCCGGGGATTGAACTGGAGACATTCTGCTTGCCGAACAGGTGCTCTACCACTGAGCCACGGCCCGTCCCCGAAAGTGACCCTCTTGGGGGTGCAGCGTTTGGGATTTTCAAAGACCAGTGTGCCTGAGCTACAGAGGCAGGTGCGGGGCCAGGGGGGTCCTGACCTGTCGTAGGCTGTCCCTCTCCTCTCCCCTTCTGTGCCTTCACGCCCCCTCTTGTTCTTCGCAGCCGACCCCCATCGGCACGATCCAGAGTGACGTACAAGTCCAGCCTCCGAACAGAGAGAAAGCACAGCAGTTCATCAAGCAGCAGGTAGGGGGCGCCAGAAAGTGTTGCGGCGGGGCTCAGAGGGGTGGGGGGGGATAGGTTTTGGAGCCAAACTGGGAATCAGCCAAAGCACTGAGTGATATTAAATGTGGGGGTGGAGGGGAGGTGCTACTGGATGGGGGAGCGGAAGCGCCCAGCTCGACAGCCCGGAAGTGGCAGGAATCCGCATGGGATGTGTGTGATCCAGGCGCAAATTCAGCCTGGTACTGTCTGGGCCGATCAGCTGTGGCTCGCCGTAGTCTCTCGTCATGGGTCTTTCCCAGGGGCACTGGGGGAACAAACCCCGGACCGCCTACGCATGCTTGTATCCCTGCCCTCCCCGCCATGGGCCTTCATGGGGGTTCTTGTAGCCAGTGCTCCCTCTAAGCTGAGTTAGTGTGAGCTAGCTCGGTTTTCTAGCCTCCAGCTCAGGCATTTTTGTCCTAGCTCAGGAAGGAGGGCTCCAGAGCACACTAATTGATGCAGCAGCCCAATCGCTCGCTCACCACTTTAATGCCACTCGCTCACAAAGCAGAATTTTTGCTCACGAGACGCCACGGCTTAGAGGGAGCACTGCTTGTCGCACTGGCCCCCCTTCTTAAAGGCCGGGGGGGTGTCAACCCATTCTTTGCGCCTTCGATAAACAGCATTTAGGGAGTCAATAAGGGTGTTTGGGTTTGTGCATCTCAGGTTGGGGGGGCTAGGGTTGCCAACCCCCAGGGAGCCCCCCGGGATCTCCCACTATTACAGTTGATCTCCAGATGACCAAGATCAGCCCCCCCTGGAGAAAATGGTTGTTTTGGAGGCTGAACCCTATGGCATTATGCCCTGCTGAGGTCCCCCCCAAAACTCCGCCCTCCCCAGGCTCCACCCCCACCAAATCCTCAGGTATTTCCCAACCCAGAGCTGGCAACCCTTTGGGGGGGGGGGAACCCCGTTTCCAGATCTTTTCTGCAGGAGACAAGGGGCGAGTGCGTGTGTGTGTGTTTGCAAACTTTGCAGTGACCCCCGGGGGAACATAATGGGTCTCCGAGAGCGGGTTCTTCTCCCCTGGGAATGGGGGGGGTGCCCAGATTACATTCTGGCCTCTTCATATTTTTTGCTTTTGCATGTCTCTCTCTGTGTCACTTCCTCCGCTCCTGGAACTCCCCTTCCCTTTCCATCTCGTCTCTCTCTCTCTCTCGTTTTTGTTTCTTTCTCTTTTTTTCCCCTGCCTCCGTCATTAGCAGTCACCCGAGGGGACCGAATTATGGGATCCCCAGGCTGGGCGGCAGCCCGCTGAGGAGGCCATAGGAACTCTCCTGGCAGCCAGCAGGCTTGGGGGTTCTGTGCAGGTACATGACAGGGCTGGGGCGGGAGGGGCGAGGGGGGCGGCCAGGGAGGGGACCCACAATCTGCTGTTCAACCCCCACTCACCGCCGGAGCGTCAGACCGCACATTTCCTGTCCGCACTGCCCCTCGAACCGTTCGCTCGTTTTGGCCCAGTCTCTCCCGAATGGCCCGTGCATTTCGGCCTGGTCGAATCTGGACCTTTCTTCCTTCCGAACGTCGACGTGGGTCGAGCTCTCTGCCGGACGAAACAGGCCCCACTCGTAAATCCGCTTGCTGAAAAGACGTGGCCAAAGGGCGGTCCTTGAGTGGCCCTGAGAAAGGGGGTCCAGAGGGTGGGTTGGTGTGGGTCCCAGTCTTCCCCACCTAGCAACAGTTTCTGTCACTTGTCCTGGAGCTCTGGTTCCGTCAGAACAATTTTCAGGTGGTCGTGAGTTTGTGTGTTCCAGTATCCCAGAAACATTCATGACATGGGTGGGTGGGGGGTCATCTAGTCCTATGGACCAGCCCTGAGTTTGAAAAGTAGGTGCGCTTCCATTCTTTTCCAATGTGGGTCCCCCAACATCTGGGGACCTGATTCCCTTCTTGAATTCCAAGCTGTTCCTGTCAACGAAGGAAGTATTCCTTCTCAGCAACTGGAAGAGATTGGCCACGAACATATTACAGGAACATATGAACCTGCCTTCTACTGAATCAGTCCATCAGTCCACCGAGGTCAGTATTGCCTATTCAGGCTGGCAGCCGCTCTCCAGGGTCTCAGACTGAGGTCTTTCACATCACCTCCTGCCTGATCATTTTTGAACCGGAGATGCCGGGGATTGAACCTGGGACCTTCTGCGTGCCAAGCAGAGGCTCTTCCACTGAGGCACAGCCCCTCTTTACAGCTCTCCAGGGTCTCAGGTGGAGGTCTTTCACATCACCTCCTGCCTGGTCCTTTTAACTGGAGATGCCGGGGATTGAACCTGGGACCTTCTGTGTGCCAAGCAGAGGCTCTTCCACTGAGCTACAGTCCCTCTTTACTGCTCTCCAGGGTCTCAGGCTGAGGTCTTTCACATCACCTCCTGCCTGGTCCTTTCAACTGGAGATGCCGGGGATTGAACCTGGGACCTTGTCAAGCAGAGGCTCTTCCACTGAGCCACAGCCCCTCTTTACTGCTCTCCAGGGTCTCAGGCTGAGGTCTTTCACATCACCTCCTGCCTGGTCCTTTCAACTGGAGATGCCGGGGATTGAACCTGGGACCTTGTCAAGCAGAGGCTCTTCCACTGAGCCACAGCCCCTCTTTACTGCTCTCCAGGGCCTCAGGCGGAAGTCTTTCACATCATCTCCTGCCTGGTCCTTTCAACTGGGGATTGAACCTGGGACCTTCTGCATGCCAAGCAGAGGCTCTTCCCCTGAACCACAGTCCCTCTTTACAGCTCTCCAGGGTCTCAGGCAGAGGTCTTTCACATCACCTCCTGCCTTCTTCCACTGAGCCACAGTCCCTCTTTACAGCTCCAGGGTCCCAGGCTGAGGTCTTTCACATCACCTACTGCCTGATCATTTTAACTGGAGATGCCGGGGATTGAACCGGGGACCTTCTGCGTACCGAGTGAATGCTCTGCCACTGAGCCACAGCCCTTTCCCTAATTTGCTTTATCTCCACCCCAGCCTGGGCCCTCGAAGAGGTCTCTGCTGCCACACTTCTTCTCCTAGCCTCAAGGCAACAGCAGAGAAGGGAACACGTGGCAGAGCTCCTGGCGGGCATGGAGCCGTGTTTCGGGCATAGGTGCACTCAACTGTCCTTGCCATGTGTGTGTGCACGCGCGCTTTTGTGGTGTGGGAACCTCTTAGGTGCTGTTGTCGTACCCGTGGCCCACTGTATCTGGCCCTTTCCCCATCTAGACGTGGCGTCTGTTCCGTCCTGCGCCTTCGCTGTGATCCTCGTGCTTGAAGCTAGACTGTGTTTTCTGGACTTTAAAAGTTCTGCGTCCCAGCTCCCTCACCAAGACAGGCCCAATTCCTGCAGCCTTCGTCACCGCTGTGAAATTAAGCATGCTTGCTTCATTGTGAGATTTTTGCCCAGTCCGGGGAGGGCCACGGAGGATCTGCAGAACTCTCTCAGCCCCACCTACCTCCCAGGGTGTCTGTTGTGGGGAGGGGAAGGGAAAGGAGTTTGTTAGCCGCTCTGAGACTTCAAGTGAAGGGGGCGGGGTATAAATCCAATCTCCTCCTCTCTTCTCTGGAATCTTATGGCACCAAGCCTCTGTCCGCTTAAGAGATCTGCAAGCATTACCCTAAGCTGTCAAGGAGATCTGAGACAGCCATGAGGACTAGGAACCTGTTTTAGAAAAACAAAAAGCAAGGATTCTGCCGTCAATATCACTTTTTAATCTCTCCCCCCACCAGTATGGAATTATGAAATGCTCACAATGTTTAGGTCAGGGGCAATATACTTTTTTGTGTTTTTCTCGTGGAATTCTAAGTCGAGGCAGCAGGAACTGGGCCACAAAATAAGAGAACTGTGCATTAATTGAGAAGTGCTTTGTGTGCCTTTGTATGTGTGTTTGGTGTTACTCATTTCAGCACACACACACAAAAAGTGTTCTGGTTGATGTTGAGCTAGTGAACAAGCGGACAATACAGTTTCTGGGGTTTCTAAGTTGATTTTCACTGCGTGTTTTCTGTGTAGTCTGGAAACTTGACTGCTTTTCTCTTAAAAAAACAAAAGAAGATGGGTCCCAGTGTTCAAAAATATCCCCGAGGGCTTCCAGGTGAATCAAATGATATTTCCAAAATGTGGTAGTATTGACTGGTCTCCTACGTCTGCTTGTAGAACTCAGCTCTTTGGTACAGGAATGTCTTTTTGTTGTTGTTGTTCATTGGCTGCCTTTCTGCTTTGCAGAATCCAAGGTGGCTTGCAATATAAGAAACGCATGAAAAACCACATCAATAAATTGATTTGTAAAAAACCCCACATAATAGACGAAAATTTAAAATCTCCAGTTAGGGTGCCAGTAAATTACAGTCCCAAATAAAATTGCCTTCAGCTGCCCCCTGAAGATCAACAGTGAGGGAGCCAGGTGCGCCTCCCCGGGGAGGTGGTTCTATAAATGTGGGGTTGCCACTGAAAAGGACCTCTCGTAGTTAGCCAGTTTGGTGTAGTGGTTAAGTGCGCAGACTCTAATCTGGGAGAAGCGGGTTTGATTCCCCACTTCTCCACTTACAGCTGCTGGATTACCTTGGGCAAGCTGTAGTTCTGCTAAGAGCTGTCCTTGAAAAAGAGCAGTTTCTGTCAGAGCTCTCTCAGCCCCGCCTACCTCACAGGGTGTCTGTTGTGGGGAGGGGGAGGGAAAGGGGCTTGTAAGCCACTCTGAGACTTCTTCTGGGAGCCAGTTTGGTGTAGTGGTTAAGTGCGCGGACTCTAATCTGGGAGAACCGGGTTTGATCCCCCACTCCTCCACTTGCACCTGTCTGGATGGCCTTGGGCAAGCCGTAGTTCTGATAAGAGCTGTCCTTGAAAAAGAGCACTTTCTGTCAGAGCTCTCTCAGCCCCACCTACCTCACAGGGTGTATGTTGTGGGGAGGGGAAGGGAAAGGAGTTTGTCAGCCGCTCTGAGACTCCTTCAGGTAGTGAAGGGCGGGGTATAAATCCAGTCTCCTCTTCTTTTACCTCACAGGGTGTCTGTCGTGGGGAGGGGAAGGGAAAGGAGTTTGTAAGCTGCTCTGAGACTCCCTTGGGTAGTGAAGGGCGGGGGATAAATCCAATCTCCTCTTCTTCTTCGTATGCTCCCCAGACGAGCTTTTTTGATTGGTGGGACCGCCAGGAGGATCTCTCCCTGTGATCATAATTCCCAGGCAGGAAGATAAATCCAATCTCCTCTTCTTCTTCGTATGCTCCCCAGACGAGCTTTTTTGATTGGTGGGACCGCCAGGAGGATCTCTCCCTGTGATCATAATTCCCAGGCAGGAATGTGTGGGAGGAGACGGTCCGTCAGATACCATCTAGGGCTTTAAAGAACAAAACCAGCACTTCGGATCGGGCTTAGAAGTAGATCGGTTAGCTGACATAATTGCTGGAGCTCCAGGTCCACGTGCTCCCAACAAAGCTGCAGTCTAGCCGCGGCGTTCTGCACTAGCTGCAGCTTCCAAACAAGAATTATTTTAAAAACACATAAAAGGCCACAATGTAAAATCCCCCGACGGGGAAAGAAGCCTGTCGTTGGGTGCATTCAGGCACGGGTGCGCAGCTCTCCAAGGCCGTGAAGCGGGTCTGACTTCTGGCTCGACGGTTGCGAATCGGTACCTTTCATAAACATGGCTGGGAGTGACTCGAAACCAGGGTTGCAAGCAATACTCCCTCTAAGCTGTGGAGTCTTGTGAGCAAAAATCCTACTTTGTGAGCTACTGGCATTAAAGTTGTGAGTGAGCAATTTGGCTCCTGCATAATTTGCTCTGGAGCCAGCCTTCCTGAGCTAAGACAAAAATGGGTGAGCTCACACTCACTCAGCTTAGAGGGAACATTGGTTGCAAGGTAGCTTAGCTCGTAGTAGTCAGTGCTCCCTCTAAGCCGTGGAGTCTCGTGAGCAAAAATTCCACTTTGTGAGCGACTGGCATTAAAATTGTGAGCCAGCGATTTGGCTGCTGCATCAATTAGTTTGCTCTGGAGCCCTCCTTCCTGAGCGAAGACAAAAATGGGTGAGCCGGAGGCTCAAAAATTGTGAGCCAGCTCACCTTAACTCAGCTTAATGGGAAACACTGGTAGTAGTTGATAACTCCAGAGCCGGAGCTGTGTTCCTTCTGTTGTGACGAAACAGGGGGACTAACCAGAGTTCCTCCAGGGTGAGCTTCTAGGGATTGGAGCACCCTTAATCGCGTCTAAAGGAGGGAGCTCCGGCTCACAAAAGCGCTTGCTGTGGGGAAAGCATCGCTAAGTTATCTGTAGCGATTGAGGGGGTTCTTCATACCAGAATTTTTGGAATCGGGGTAACATGGACAATAAACAGATTTTTCAGCAAACTTGGGGGATTTCAATCTGAAATCAACAATAAAATATATAGGGGGGTGGATTAAGTCAGCCGTCAATACATTTGCATTGTCTGTGCATGGAATCAGATGCCGCAGCTCCAACCGCTGGGGGCGCCAGCAGCCTATAGGAGGTGGTGGCCAGGCCCGTCGGTAGTAGTTGATAACTCCAGAGCCGGAGCTGTGTTCCTTCTGTTGTGACGAAACAGGGGGACTAACCAGAGTTCCTCCAGGGTGAGCTTCTAGGGATTGGAGCACCCTTAATCGCGTCTAAAGGAGGGAGCTCCGGCTCACAAAAGCGCTTGCTGGGGGGAAAGCATCGCTAGCAGTTATCTTTAGTGATTGAGGGGGTTCTTCAGATACCTGAATTTTGGGAATCGGGGTAACATGGACAATAAACAGATTTTTCAGCAAACTTGGGGGATTTCAACCTGAAATCAACAATAAAACATATAGGGGGGGGATTAAGTCAGCCCTCAATACATTTGCATTGTCTCTGCATGGAATCAGATGCCGCTGCTCCAACCGCTGGGGGGAGGGGGCGCCAGCAGCCACGCCAGGCCACCACCTCCTATAGGAGGTGGTGGCCAGGCCCGTCAATGCCAGAGGAGGAGAGGGTAAGTTGCTTCCTCCCTGCCTCTCCCCACCCCTGCCTGCCTGGGGCCAGGGAGGGCCTTCACAGGGCTTCCTTGCACTCCCGCCGGCCTTGCAGGTCCACCGCCGGGCCCCTCATGGGGTTCGGCAGTGGAGCTGCAAGGCCGCCGCCGGCGGCCAGGACCATTGGGGGCGGGGTGTGTGGCCTTATGACACACTTCCGGTGATGTCAGGGGGTGTGGCATAAGCTAATGAGTTATGCTAATGAGTTCCCCTAGCTCTTTTTCTACGAAATGACCCCTGGGTTCAGGACACACAAAAGAAAAGACTACTTGACACAGAGAGTGATTAAAATGTGGAATTCGCTGCCAGAGGAAGTTGTGACAGCCACAGGAATAAGCAGCTCTGAAAGGGGGTGGTGAGGTAGACTCATGGAGGAGAAGTCTATCAGTGGCTACTCGCCATGGTGGCTGAGGGGAACCTCCGCATTCAGAGGCGCTAATCCTCTGAATCCCAGAGCCAGGAGACAACCTCGTGGAAGGCCTCAGCGTCTGTGCCCTGTTGTTGGCCCTCCAGAGAAACTGGTTGGCCACTGTCTGAGACAGGTAGTTGGACTAGAGGGACCACTGGGCTGATCCAGCCGGGCTCTTCTGATGTTCATATCAGGGGAAGGCCTTGGCCTCTATGCCCTGTTGTTGGTCCTCCAGAGGAACTGGTTGGCCCCTGTGTGAGGCAGGATGCTGGACTAGATGGACCGCTGGTCTGATCTAGCAGGGCTCTTCTTAGGTTCTTATGAAGGCCTCGGCCTCTATGCCCTGTTTTTGGCCCTCCAGAGGAACTGATTGGCCACTATGTGAGACAGGATGTTGGATTTGAGGGACCACTGGTCTGATCCAGCGCAGCCCTTCTTATGTTCTTATCAGGGGACAGCCTCGGTCTCTGTGCCCTGTTGCTGGCTCTCCAGAGGAACCGGTTGGCCACTGTGTGAGACAGGATGCTGGATGAGATGGACTATTGGTCCGATCCAGCAGGGCTCTTCTGATGTTCTTATATCAGAGGTCCCCATTTGTTTACAGTATATTCATGCCACCTCACCAGAATCATGTCTGAGGCGGCTTAGTTTAAAAACCGCAGTGTTACTAAAAAATGCAAGCCATTAATGTAGGGGCCTCTGGGCGGCTTGTTTTATCTTGTATTAATTGCACCTGGTTTGCATTCTCACGCAAAACTATAGTTTAAGCCAGGAGAGATGCAGATTTGCTCTGGAAGAGGCAGGGAGCTCCTGATTTTTTCCCCAAATTCCAGTGTGCCCAGAGTCAACAGCTGTGTCTGCATCAAGCCAGCATGTCCCAATTCCACCTCCCAAAGTGTTGGGGGGGGCGGTTTCCCTTCAGCAAGAGACATTTTAGAACAAGCCCACAACTTCTTCCATCTTCTTTGTTTTTCACGTTTATTTCTGCTCTGATTGGCTTGGGAAGGAGGGCTGCGAGAGTCGACCACCAGCAACCCTTGGTTTAAGAATCTTTCGTTGTCTCTTTGGGGGGCCGGCTCTGAACATCCCTGGCCCCAGAACATGGGGCACATATTGTGCCTGAAAGTTTTCACCATCCCATAGCCCTCTTAGCCATCGTTTTGGGGTTTTCAGATTCAGCCCGGCAACGGGGCCGAGGAAGGGGCACGCCGCCGGCTGGGTTACTGCGTGAGCCGCCTGTCCCCCCTGTGGTGTACAGAGGCAAGGATTCAGACATTGGGGGTGGGGGGCTCAGAAGTGCCTTTTCTGAGTTGTTAGCTTGCAAAGGCTTGGAAGACCCATACCCACAGCTCGGACAGGGGCTCCATCAGTTGTGGGTAGCAACCAGTGTTCCCTCCAAGCTGAGTTAGTGTGAGCCAGCTCTCAGTTTTTTAGCCTCCAGCGCACAGATTTCTGTCTCAGCTCAGGAAGGAGGGCGCCAGAGCAAACCGATTTATGGAGCAGCCAAATCGCTCGCTCACAACTTTCATGACAGTAGCTCACAAAGTAGAATTTTTGCTCACAAGACCCCACAGCTTAGAGGGAGCGTTGGTGGCAACAGACAGCGCTCCCCACGCCCCTCTGCCTCTCTCCAGTTCCCCACCCCCCGGTTGCTGACCCTGCCCGCCTCTCCTTTCCTCATAGGTAATGAGCTCAACCAATGGGGAGCTGAACACGGATGATCCGACCGCTGGCCACTCCAACGCCCCCATCACCGCCCCTGCCGAAGTCGAGGTGGCCGACGACACAAAGTGAGTGCCAGCTTCTGTGGGCGTTGCCTTTTTAATGGTAGGGGATAGAGTAGGGGGGGTCCCCGGCCTTTTTGAGCCCGTGGGCACCTTTGGAATTCTGACACAGGGCGGTGGGTGCAAGCACAAAATGGCTGCCATGGGAGGCGGAGCCACATACACCCGGAAGAAGTCATAGTGCGGCAAAGAATATGATGTACACCAGGCCTGTAGCTATGGTGGGGCTTATGGGGGCTTTGCCCCCTTTCTTAAAGGCACAGACCCACAAGAATTTCTCCAGTAAATGCTTTTTCCAATCATTTGAAAACATTTTTTAAAAGACAAGCACTCCTTTAAGCAGAGTGGGGTGTTGTAGTTGACTAATTCCCACACTGAGCAAAGGGGTTGGAGTAGGTGACCTCTAGGATCCCTTCTAACAGTGGGTCAAGAAACTGGTCTCCTTTAAGAGGGTTTTTCTGTCTCAGTGTTAGCTTTCTTGACTGTAGAAGTCATCATCTCCACCTGCCAGCTTGTTCTCAGAAGTGTTGCTTAGGCTGGCCAAGGGATTAACTTGCAGCAGCTGAGAACTGTCATCTAAAATGGCTGACAGCTTGCAATTTAGAGACCTATCCTGGTAACAGCTGTCTGTTGGCTTGAATGGCTTTTTCTTTCTGCACTGAGAACTTCAGCCCCACCAGAAAAAAAAAAATTGCCCCACAAGCGACAAAATCCTGGCCACAGACCTGATGTATACACAATACGCTGAGAAACAAGCCGCTGCCACCAGGACAACACAACTTTAATCTGCACAGCCAATCAGAAGCCCTGCTGGGCAAGAGCTCCACCTGGCCCATCCACTTTCTGAAAACACTTGGCCGGCACCATGTGGGGGGGCCCCTGAGATAGAGAGTTCTTTGGTCCCTTCAGCAACCTGCCAAAACGAGTGGGCCATGGGGCTTTGTATTTCCCTGGTTTGGGCCCTTTTCAAACCTTCCCAACACCCATTTAGTGCCCAGGCAGATTGTGAGAAGGAGGACAGGCAGGGATAAACCAGTGCTCGGTTCTCGTTGCCCTTTCTTATACGCCCTGGGGTAATGCCAACTGCCACTCTGGGGTCAAGACTGAATAGTGTTGCCTGGTCTTACCTGGGTCCCGGCGGAGGGGGATCCAGCCCGGCTCCTGGAGTCTTCTGGTGAAGTGACATCATCGCCATAGAGTTTTTACCCAAACGCTAGAGCGTCCCCTGCACAACGTTCCCAGCGCAACGGGGGCACCCTAGGAAGGAATTTTCCTCCTGGCCAGATTGGCCGAAGGATCCAGGGGGTTCTTCTGCTTTCCTCTGGGCATAGGTCAGGGGTCACTGGAGGAGGGGGGGGAGTAGGTGTGAATTTCCTGCATTCTGCAGGGGGCTGGACTAGATGACCCTCTGGACCCCTTCCATCTCGGTGTTTCCGTTCCTCCCTCCCACCAGGTGCTGCTGTTTCTTCAAGAGAAGAAAGAGGAAAACCATCCAGCGCCACAAGTGATGCCCCTGCCGGAAGAGACCAGGATCCTCTTGGGACTACGTTTTGTTTGAATTCCTGGACCCCGCCGGCGAATGGATTGAGAATTCCCCGTTCGGATGGGGAATGGGCCTCTCCCCCCCTCTCCGGTTTTGCTGGGGGGGGGATGCGGGCAGGAGCCACCGTGACTGTTGGTGGGCTAGCCTGGGGACTGGGTGGGGGACAGCCTTCCCCGGTCCGTGACTTTTCTTCTTTCCTGCCCAAGAAACACAACATTTGGGAGGCGCGGGGGGGGGGGGGGGGGGGGGGGGTGTCGTTCACCGAGAAAAGCACGTCAAGACTTTTTTTTGCTCTCAAGTGCCCAGTTTTGTTTTGTTTTTCCTGTCTGGTCTGCAGAAAAGCATTAACTATTTAAGCTTCAGTCTACACTTCCATCAGCTCTTCTGTCCCGTCCCCCCCAATTGGTTTCATTGGATTGTTTTTGGAAGAAAACATTTTAAGAGGGGGGGGGCGGTGGCGGCGGGGCGGGGATTCTACACGTTTCCTTAGAAGAAGCAAAGCAAAGCAATGGTGAGCCGGCCACGAAGACTCCTTTCTCTTTCACTTCCGCATCAGAGTTTAATTTAAAATGTTTTTTGGGGGGGGGTCCTCCGGTGCTTGAGAGGATCGGGGCCCTCGCTCCCCTCTCCTTTTTTTTGTAGGTCTTCTCCTGTCTGCTTGTACTTGTCAATATTTTTTTTTCCAAAAAAAAAAGTTTCCTTTTGGTTTCCCTCCCCACCCGCCGCTTTAGCCTCTTCTTGTACCCCCCCACCCCCCCCCCGTTTCGTTTTCATTTCTCAATGCACTTTTTTTTTTTTGGTAGCAATACAAGCGACATCTTGGTCATGAAGCTGAGCGATCGGGTTTTGTTTTGTTTTTTGCTTAAAGATCCACCAACCCCCAGCCCGTGTTGGGAAACGAAAAAGGCGAAAGGAGGCCGCCGGCCCTCAGGCAGGGCTGGGAGAAACCAAAAGTGCCAAGCCCTTGCATCTGGGGAACAGTGGGAGGGGCTACCACGACCAAAGGGGAATCCAGTTGGACGGCAGCAAGCCCACGAGGTTGGTTCCACGTCCTGGGAGGAAAGTTCCGGGCTGGGAACCTTGTGCTCTCTTACTGCGAGGTTTGAGAAATCTCCTTCCTGTAACTTGACACACACACACACA